TGAGACGATTAATTAGAAGATGCTGAAGCACCCCATTATATTAGAGACTTCCTATTACAGCTGCGCATTAAGCTCTTTACTTCGGACTTATGGAGATTCTCTGAATAAATACCTCACAGATTTCTACCGTGTAAGAGGTATAAAATCAATCATTGAATAGGGGGATCAAGAATAATACTTTAAAGAAAATGACAAATATAATAGATGAAAACCTGGTAAAGACGGTGTAGAAACAATTCCACCGGAGACTTTGTGCATAATGTGAACAGAATGACTAACTTTAATACTAATAATATAGATGCACTAACTGTTTCTGCAATGGTAATTGTAATTGCTTGTTTTAATAACGGACTAAAGTCCGAATAAAAGAGCAAAAATATCGAAAGCAAAAAATTGCCTAACCATCTGATTACTAGTCCAACGATCGAAATGATATCTCAGCCCCGTAATGTCATTAACTCTGGAATGGCGGAACGAGTAAATTGTAAGACCACTTAATTTCGCAGTGTTCAGCACTCTGTGTCGTATAGAGTCTACCTACTCTCTTGCGTTGTCTGCTTCATTCCATGTTGTTTTCTGACTGCATAGCCAATCAGTGGCCGTCACATCGTTCTTAGCAATTCTCTTCCACCAGAAAGGTATCATGTCTGTTAGCTTACTTGGTTTGTAGGAAAGTGGCCATTACAATCGTGTTCAAAGGTTTCCGGTAATACCGTCCCATCTTAGGCTACGTTATAAAGAGTAGACTGCAAACAGCCTTCGTCTGTTAATAACTGAGGCTTATTTTATTATAGAATTATATTCAGCTTAGTTCTCAATATTTTTTTCTGCTTTATGGGAGATTTTCTAATTTACGATATGTGTCTTTGCAGAAACAATTTTCTGTGTTATACAGGGGTTGGAAAAAATATGGAAACACCTTTAAAAAGCATGTTTCTTTGCTTAATATGGTGTAGGAAACCCGTTGGCATCCAAAACAGCTTGCAGTCTTCTCGGAATGAATAAATACAGTTCCTGTGTGTTTGCCAAGGGAATATTATACCATTCTTCCTGCAAAACGGTGGCAAGTTCAGATAACGATGTTGGCGGTGGATAACGAGAACGCATTTTCCGTTCCAATTTAGACCACAAAGGTTCGATAATATTCAGGTCTGGTGACTGTGGTTGCCAGGGGAGATGGGACAACTCATCTTCGTGCTCAGAAAAAAAAACCAGTCCTGGACAATGTGAGCTATGTGAACAGGGGCTTTGTCGTCTTGGAAGACACCATCACCATCGGGGAACAAAGTTTGTACCATGGGATGAACTTGATCGGCCAAAATGTTCACATAAGTCTTGGCAAGTCATGTGCCCTGACACAGTTATCATGGGGCTAGCAGAGAACCACGATATGGGTGCCCAAACCATAAACAGAACCCCCGCCATGTTTCACTCTTGGCAACAAGCAGTCTGTATTATAGGCTTGAGATGGCGTTTCTCCAGACGTAAACTCGGCCAGAAGTGGGAAACAATGTGAAAGAAGACTCTTCAGACCTATTACTCGCTTTCCACTGCTCTATAGTCCAGGCTTTATGACTTAAACACCACCTTTTCCTGTTACGAACGGGCATTAGCATCACTGATGAGTGGCTTCTCAATTGCAGCCACGGCCAGCAATACCCTGTTTATGAAGCTCTCTTCTAATTGTTTGGTACTCACACAGGTTCGGTGACACAACATTCATTTCATTCAGCAGTAACTTTTGCAGCTGTGGTCTCTTATTTTTCGCCACAATTGCCCTTAATGATCGTCTGTCACGATCACTCAGGACACACTTTCGTCGCGCTGTGATTTAGCAGATGATGTTTTTCCGCTTTTCAAATATGCGGAATAAATCTTCGATACAGTACCTCTTGAAACACTAAACACCTCGGCTAACTTGCTTACGGAAGCACCTACCATACGTGCTCCAAAAATTGCCCACGTTCGAAGTCTGTTAACTCTGACATAATGCAATGACAACCTCACATAACAGTACTCCGACAACAACTGAACTGTTTAGCACATTTAAGAAGTTGTATAGGTGGCGTCAGTAGTCAAAAACGCCAGCGCCACCTACATATTTCATTAAAGTTAATCTTTCTTTTCAAACATGCATTTCACAAGGTGTTTCCATATTTTTGTCCATCCACTGTACCTCTCTTCTACTTAAGATACTTTTAATTATTTTTTCTTCATTTGTAAAATTTATTGCCGCTTCAAGGTTAGTTAACGTATTTCTAATCATCTGACCGGATTTTTAAAAGAAATCTTGACAAAAGTTTCTTATGAAATGCATTTCAGCATAACGGATAGTTGATTAACAATGCCATAAATATTATATGTTGTGCCGAAAAACTATAACCTATGGAATAGAAGTTGTAAGATCGTTCATTTCCCACTCTCTCCATCTACCAAAGCAGTTATTTATAGTCTACTTCAATAGAGCAATATATGTGCCAGTAGACGTTAAAATAAAGAATCGAGGTAGTTGCTTTGAATGCAGAATCAAATTTATCTGCAATTTATTACTGCGTCTCATTTTGAGTTTAAGGAGTTAGATTTGAAAAGTAATATCATACAATAATAAAGCAAATGACAAAGTATTGCTCACATAATTTTAAATCACTCTACCACACCCAACCCTAGTACCCTATCACCCAAACACTTTTTAAACATAAAATAATAAGATCTTACTTAACATTTTAAAATATAAAATTACTGAATTTCTCCTGAAATACTTAAATATGAGTTCTGTAAGTTTCGTACCTAAAAAATATATATTAAAAATATTCGTTTGTTATTTGAAAGATCGTACCTCTACTTTCACAAAACAAACACTGATATAATTAAAATTTAATACCTCATTTCCACAGCATAGGGCTCACTAGTGGCTAAGCGGTAAAATCGCTAAATACTAGTAGTTTTGTCCTGGGTTCGAATCCAGGTGAACGGGCTGGCAGCATGGGAATTTTCGAGGCTCTTCCCATGCGTAATATGTATACAAATTAGTTTCCCTTAGAAAGTTCTCCACGAAGGCATCACTCTCCTTGGGTAGAAAGCCCTAGTGTGCTTTGCCTTAATCAACTAAATCAAACCAATTTAAGAGCATAATGTAATAAAAAAACGAAAGATTTTGATGAGTCAATTTTATTCCTAAATTTTTTATGAGAGATATCAATTACCAGTGACTACATAAGAACGAAATGCGGAAGAATAACATTTACAGATTGCACATGACATTTCGCAAAATTTTACGACAACCTTCGGTTATATCAAGCTGTTGTTTATCAACAAAAACTCTTCGATAGAAAGATAAATATATGCCAAGAAAAATGGAAGTCCCTAGAACATTCCGCTATAATACTGGTAAAACTAGCGATGAATATGAGGATCTTCCCCAAAGTGTAACAGCTAATGAAAGCAGAAATTCTCAGAGCCTGTTATGCTCAGAGCAATGCAGTGCATATTTTGCTGAATATATTGTAAAATCATTCCCGATTTTTATGCTTTCTTGCTACCGTTTTTCGTTGCAGATTTGTTAAAACGTTTTAGATATTTATATTCGGGGTTTACCCATTGTGCTCTTTTCCGTTGACATTTCCACTTTTTCGGGCCTTAAACACTGGCTAGCATGTTAATTCATTTATTAATAATAATTGTCATCTGATGTTTCGAAGTACATTTTAAAAAATTAAATGCGATCTAGAATAAAGAAATGTGAGCTTATACCAAAGATTAACATAATCAAGTGAATAATAGAATTAATAATATAATAATAATAGGTATATTTTTATAAGGAGTCTTATAGCTGTAGTTATGTTGTTATGAGTCACGTTTTACTTCTGTTCCAAAATAAAAATCCGTATTATAAAACCCATATCAAAAGTAATGTGCAAGTTCAGCGAAGAGTTAAATACAAAATTTCCTGTTTCAAGCAAGGACGAGACAGCTGCAAAGTTAAAAATTCTGCATACAAATCTGGAATCTTTCCTTTCATGTATATGGAGAAGGGTGGCAGGGCATAGTTGAATTAAAAGTACATTTGCCTTAGACAATGGTACGGTTAGAGGAGGCTGACAGCAGTAATGCGGTACAAGACCAAAATACTGCATTCCAGCTGGCTCTTTACCGCAAAAGAATCAAGGCAGCTAAAAAAGAATGGTTTTGATTCTATGGTGATGTTGATCCTCTAATGATTTAACCAAATTATTTCGATCTTGATTAAGAGCTGTTATTAATTATAATTCTTGGCTGCATTGTAAACTTCAGCGTTCCTGCAACGTGTCAGTTGTTTCTACGCCATGCCATTCTTACTCAGTGCCGACGGTATGCAGAGTCGGTTCTATACACTGTCAGTCCTAATACCGTATCGGTCCTAGACCGGTGCAGATTCTATGCGGTATAGGTCTTACTTCATGTCAATCCTAAGCTGGTTTCTGTTCTATGTGGTGCTGGTCTTATACAATGTCGGCTTTTTTAACTCAAGAACATTTATCGGTGCATTCAAAAACAAATTTACTGCAGATTTATTCGACAGGAATAATTTTTTTGCTAGTTCGAAAATTTGTCAAATGTTTCAATTTATTTGGTTTACTAATATATAAGACCATTTTAATAATATCTCGTTTGTTCCCTTCAATTTATTAAACTGGAGTAGAACCATTTCTCTGGCTGTACAAAAAGTACGTTAAGTTGCGAAATTATATTCCTACGAAGCATTTGAAGAAACGTGTATCATCATTATTGTCTTTTATGCAGTATAGTTTAAAATGTTTTGAAGATTCTTCATCATTTTATTGAGTACGGAACAAAATAATTTCGTAACGTGTGAATCGTGCATGGAATTATCCGGATTTAACTCGTAAAACTCCTAGTTAAATGACAAATAGTTTTGACTAATGGCGCCATCTATTTCTCGAAAGTAGCGTAATTATTGTATTTATACTTCAGTTTCGAATGTAAAGGGTGACGGACTAGATTTCAGTTTATAATGCCATTTCGCCTGAGAATGTAATGTAAAGGGAAGATTTTAACGCCTGTTTTTTGTGAAAGTTACCGCTACAAGTATGACAGCAGGCCTCATTTTGCATACATGAAATCTTATGAAACTTGTTTTGGGTTTTTTTTTTCTCACATAAATTTGTTTAATATGACCAGAATAATTCAGAGGCGGTTCAATTTTCTATTAATTTATAAAAAAAACCATTTATTCGTATTCATAACGTAAAAGTTCATTTCCTCTCTGATTTTTACCAAATTTCTTTTCTTTTATTGCAGATTTTAATGCAGAAAATGTCGAAACTCCATGCCACTCATTCTGAAACGTCTGAAATAGTTGCTCGAAAGTGAATAATGGTGATGTATAAAATGTTTATACATGAGTTTTGAGAGCATTTGAATTTTGATTCTTGTATGCAGTGTGTAATCTTACATTATAATAAACCTAAAATTAGAAAACAAATGAATAAACTTAGTTTCGAAATACTGGTTAAAGGAAAGTTTAAAAGGTTTTGAAAACAAACCGTGGTTTCTTTCTAAAATTTATTCTTCAGACTGGCAGTGAAAGATTGTTTACGTCCTTCTAAACAACTCAAATTAGCGGTTTTGACCAAAAAAAAAGTTTATTTATTTATTATTTTTTTTTTTAAGAATTTATATTTTTAATCTATAGTAGCTTTCAATAAGGCGAAACATCAATGTAAATTTATTATCACTTACATAGAATCGGACAAACTGCGCTTTTTAAAAATAGAATAATAACTTATTTAATATTTTAAAACCAAAACTCTGTTTTAAAGGAGTTAAGTAATCAGTGAATTATCATAATTTTTCAAAAGCAGCAAAGTAAAAATTGAATTCGCAAACACTAGTAATAAGAATGATTATGAAAAAAATCACTGAGAAAAGAAATACATTTGAGTTTCAGTCAGCAAAATTCTTTTCAAGCAAGTTTAGACTCAGGTACTGTAGACTTTCTTCATACTCGTTTTGCATAACTGCTGAACTATTTTGAATGCCTTTCCTTTTTCAGTGATTAAATGTTCGTTCATAATACAACAATGCCTCTCATAGCGCGGGTAATCGGTTCTATCAGTATCGTGGTTTGTTTAAAACCAAACTAATCCAGGAATTAAATGCATAAGTGATAAGTGTTTCCAAGAATTTTTTTCATGCTTGCTATTTTTCAATAAATAAAATGTGATTATTAAGTTCAAATATTTTTATTAGAAATAATTTCTAAAAGTCCCTGTTTTACTTCACCTTTTTTTTCTTCATGCATTTCTTTGTAGAAATGAATTGCTGCCCTTATTGTTCGGCGAATTGTAACCATTATAACATTTTTTTTTTACATTTGTTCACCTGTTAATTCTTATGCAGGCACTTGAAAACAGTCTCCGTTTGCTAAGATATTCTCCTATTTTTCATAAGATCCTTGTAGTACATCTATTTTAAGTACGTGCTTCATTATTTAATTTCGTAAGTTTTTTTCGTTTCGCAAGACAGTTGAAATGCTTTTGAAGCCAGGAAACACTAGAAATGAGTAATACTGTCTCTGCGATTCAAACTGCTGACCCCTTGATTGCCATCCTCAAGTGCCCCAATTACACTTCGAAATTATGCGGTAAGTAGGAAGAAAAATCCTTACATTCTCGATCGCTTAAAAAGCAACTAGGGAGTAGGGGATCTAATCACCAAAACCTACTCATGACGGATTGTTTGGAAATAAAAATTTACTCTTTAACGATACATATCAATGGCATTTCTGTACTGCAGTGAAAGCAAAATTTCTTTGAAATTTATATATTAAACCTTTTAAATGCATCTTGTTAAACTTATACAACGAAGAATGTGATAAATGTTAAATGCTATCATACTGGTTTCTATTCCACATCTATTAAATAGTTATTAATGCATATTTGTGACTAAAGAAACATAGTGTAATATTAATCAAAAGCTGTTGTTGAAGATTTATAAACATGTATGTTATGAAAGCTGCAATTGAAAAACTGTCGATGAGCATTTTTAAGAACAAAACATAAAAAAATAAATATTACACAAAGTTGTTGTTGCATACTAGTTGTTGAACAGAACTGTTGATAAAAATCATTGCACTTGTTGAAATGTCGCATAGTAAGAAGTAATATATTTTGGTTTCCGAAATCCAACTGAGAGGAAATTAGGGTATTTTGCTATGACCCATAAAAAAGAGAATAATAACTAATTCAACTTGATAGATTAAATTTGTGTAAATCTCAAGGTTCCTTTATACTATTCCCTTACGTATAAAATTCTTAGTAACTTAGAACGTAATGTCAGAAAACCTAAGGTAATTATTTATTTTATAATCTTGTTGTAATACAACGTAACTGCGTTTTTGCTTTTAGAATAGAAACAAAGGGGGGAGGCTGCCTTCTTTTAATAGATATAAGATTACACAGTTGATACGATAGGAGCTTTAGTGAGTAATTGTTTACTCTTTTGCATAACTTTCCACGTGGAACGTCAAACTTTAGATAAACCTTTTACAGGAATATACTTCACTGCACTTTTTTATTACCTGTCTTCTTAAAGAGATTTCGTACTGCTCTTCTTATTTTATTGTAGATTTTTCAATCTTATTTGGTGAGATATATTTTTCTTATAACCTGCATTTCTCTGTAAGAACTGTTACATATCTTATAATTCAACAAATGTGAGCTAACGTTCTTAAATAAGTACGCTTACTTAATAATTTGACTTTTACAACGACGTTTGCTAAAATTATGTCTTCTCTAGTTAGATAGTCAAAATGAAAAAATTCGTATTGTTCTGTGTGATAACGGAATATCTCAGGTAATTATCTCGTTTAAAAGACCCATTTTGGCTACAAATCTCAATGGATTTTATTTAACATTATTAAAGGTTACATTCTCAGCTATAAAAAACAACTTTTCATTTCTTGATATATTGATTATAAGTTGAGATATACCAGGTTTTCTGAGAGACAACAAACCGGAAGTTACTGTCTGCAGCACCAGAAATCAAGTTTTAAAGGGCAAATTAAAGATGCAATTTAAACTCATTTTAAACTAAAAAATTTCAAACATTTCGATATGTCAGGAGAATCTGGCAAGGTATTTTTTATTACGTATTTTCATATTTTCTTTTTTGGACAACGTGAATAGTTGTGTATATATGTCAGGCAACGTTAATCTGAAAATTTAAAGTGCGGATTTTTCATTAAATTTTTTATGATTTATGCTTATAGCAACCATGATAACTCCAAAAATTCCTTATAGAATCACTTGCAATTTTTCACACATAGTTTTTATTTTATTATTATGGAGTTATAAAGGATGATGAAGGAGTTAAAAAATTAACCTTATAGAATTTAAGTTATATTATTTTCCTTCAATAGTGTACGCATTTTTTTACATGTTTGAGTATCGACTAATATATTTGGCCATATATTACTAGTGAATCAATATCTTCCATTTACTCTATTTCTTTGTATGCTTATGGTTAGTATAACAACATGAAGTCAAAAATATGTTTTTATCATCATTAGTCTGGTTGATGTTTTTGTTAATTTCAATATAAAATTTTCAGTACTTTTTTCATAAATTTCACAATATAACGAATTTTTGTCACTTTTGTAGTGATTATATTTAAGAGGGAGTGTAATTCAATATAAAATCTCATAAATTCAAAAATATAAGAAACGTTTTGAAGAAAGCCCTTCGAACGAGGTCGGCTACCTTAACAGTTTTAGAGCTAGATGAAATACTTTTGAAGTCAGGAAACCCAAAAAATGAGTAATGGTAACCAGGATTCAAACTGGGGATTTTCTGATTGCCAGCCGCACGTGTTTCCCAATTACACCACTAAGGTACGTGGTAAGAAGGGAGAAAATACCTTACATACTCCCTTACTTAAAAATCCGTTTAAAACGCAAGTGCAGTCGAGGGGATCCAGTCGCTAGTTCCTGGTGACGACGAATTATTTCCCACAATATTTTAGTTCGAGCGCCAATTGTAAAGAGTACTAGGCATTTAAGCATTTTATTTTGCAGAAGAAGAGGTGGAAAATGTCTAGTAACCTTGCCAGGATTCGAACTCCGGACCTCTGATTGCTAGCCGGAAGCACTTTCTAATTACACTATGAAGGTAGGTGGTATTAAGGGAAAAGTGCCTTACATAGTTATTAAAAGACTAGATTAAAAGAAGATAGTTTTGGTCTGGGTATTAATAGCAAAAACAGAATGAGTTAATTTTTTTTCCAAATTTTGTTCCCAGTAGGTACATTGATTCAATAAAATGTTATTCTTCTCACAAAATAGTCTCACACTAATGAAATCATCAGCTGCTTATAACAGAAAATAATTGTGAATGTTTCCGTTTGCTCTGTTCTTTTGTTACTCGTATTCTCACCAACACAGTTAATTCAATTTTCCTGTTGCATATTATTTCCTAAACATATCGTGCATAAATATAGCTCTGTATAATTTAATTAAAATGTAATTAAATTTTTCTAAACTACATTAATTTCGAAAAATTTTACTTTTAAATTTTTCCTTTTATTTTAGATGCAAAAGTAAACGTTTATTTATTAAAATCATATTTTAAACTGAATATTAAGTTTTGCTCATTAAAATATATTGAGTAAAATGCTTTATTAAATTATAGAAAACATCTTTAGTATTTTTAAATTCAGTGTATTCCCAAATTAATTCTCCTTTCAGAACATCTGATTTGAAGTCTTTCGAGCTCTGCTACTTGCAGTTTTTCACCTTCAGGCACCATGTTTTAATCTTTACCTTTAATGTTTGAACGCATCTTCATCATAATTGGAATTGAATAATATTTATTAAATTATGTGTTACAGCATAGCATCGAAATAAAGTTACTACCTTCTATCTGTGCACAACATGACATTTATGCAGCAAAGATTCGCTTAAGCACGCCTCAAGAACAATGTTTCGTGATTGAAATTTAAATTTAATTTTAAACAATATAATAAAACTACATTGTTTTAAGAATTTAAATCGAAAAATTAAATAATTTTATACAAAATAAATAATTTTTCCATCTAACCGATTAACAGATAATTTATTGTAGGAAAGGTTTAAATAATACGTGTGATTATTATGTAAATCATTTTAATACGCAATAAAAATTAATTAAATAAATAAAAGGAATACAAAAGCTACAAGTGAAAGTTTCTGATGCAAAATTAGTAACGGGCGAAAGACATCTGCAGTTTCTTTTTGAAAGGCCAAATCCTTCAAGGAAATAAGTCCAAATTTCAATAAAGACTTGATATATTCAGCTCTAAACTCTGAAGTATTTAGAGATCTTTCAAAGAAGTACAAAAGA